CAGCTCAATCGGAATCATTTAATCTTGCAAATCCTATATCAGGATTTCGGATATGCAAGATATACTCTGGGTATTTTGGCTGCATCGAGACGAATGACCCTGTGAAGGGGGTCAGCAGCAGGAAGTCGATGCCTTGCCTCTCTAAGAGGAAGACCCTGCTGTCGACGCCAGCTTTACCAGCACTCATTCCTCCCTCTCTTTCTTCTATCAGCTTGCTCCCTCCTCGCATGGTGACGGACACATCGCTGCAGCATAACGTTAAGATAAAGCCTTCGACCAGCTTTCTTTTCTTGAACACTACATAGGTATGACTATATACCCAACGCTCCAATGTTTACACTCATCACCGAGAAATGCCTATCACATATAAGGGCGGCTCACTGACCATCGGTGGTGTTCTAGCTACAGAGATCAGCGCGAGCAATGCTTCCTTCCTGTGGCTGACTCTACAAGTATTAAAATTGCAGTGCTACCACGGTACTCTTTGACCGCGCATTATTAAACCAGTCGTGATTTGATACAGGATTTGTAAGTATGGGGGGGGCTCACAAATCCGAAGGATTTGAAAATGCCATAGTGCCTATTTTGAAACCCACTAGTAAAAACAGTTTCAAACGTTTGTCGTAGCGTATGGTGCGCCACTTCGTATAAAACAACTTTTTATGCGTATTTCATCCTTTTTTGCGAGCAAGGTGCTTCTTTTAGAAAGCAAGCGTCTCGCATTACTGTACAACTGTTCTTTCTGATAAATTTAAATCGCGTGAGAAATTTCGGCTCAGCGTGGTACTTCTTGGGTTAGTACGATCCTTTGAAAAAAAACAGTTGGCTACATTTATGGCCGAAACATTTAATTCCGAAGGGTTGCAGCTCTGTTGGAATACCACATCGGTTCTGCCTTTTCAGAATCCGGTAACTTACAAAAGCATCCGCCCCAGGCAGCCGTCTCCTCAGTTTTCAGCTTGCCATCAGTTAGTCAAGGTGGTGACGGACCGAAGTACTGAGAACGTTACATTCCAACCCCTGTAGTGCACTGCGGAGTTTAAGATGGAGCGTGGTGTGGTATTAGTAGGCAACTGGCATAAGCGACTTCCGTGATTATTAACCCAAATGGAGTGGCTGCCTAATTTTTACTAGCTGCACTGAGTCTGATTACATCCATTATGACGCCAAGTTGGAACGTCAATCATAGCGTTAGAGCCAAAATTAATATCTTATGACTTAATAAGCTAGCAGCAAGCATAATTGGCTGAGCGAAGCCGTCTACAAAGTGAGAGAAGGCGAATCGTCTGAATCATACTGGGTCTCGCGCTGAGACGCAGAACGACGAGCACTGTACCATGCAGGGCGGGATCGCAGTAGCTGCCGCATTCGATACTGACGCTGGACTGTTGCTCGTTGCGTACGGACCCGCTCGCCCATTGACTGGTACCTAGAAATAACCATATTATAATGGTCAGTTTCATGGGCTCGCAATGGCATTAAACCACGTAAAAGTAGATTAAAGCTGCACGAAGTCGAGCAGCACCGTGGAATCGGTTCTCGTTCCACTTGAAGGTCGCGTAAGTTGCCTTCCACAGTATGCACATGGGACCAAAGAAGCGATCCACCGAAACAGCCCTATTGCGTGCAATGTTGTCACGATCGAGGGGCCACCCCAAGACTGCGTCTTAGGGTGAATCTTACGTAGCACCCGACCGTCACCCTGGTACCCTTTGACCATCAAATCTGCCCACATTTTAGGGAACTGTCTCGGCTCAGCCCCCACTTCGGCAGCCGAGTCATTTTCCTTGCGTAGCATCTGGTGATGGATGAAAAGTCGGTCGAGCATCTTCGTAAGGTCGGATGTTGACCCGGGTGAGTGAGATGAGACGTTACAGCAACACCAGGTGGGACGACAGAGCTCTCAACCTTGCAGTCATACAGATTGTGCTTGGCCGATAAGTAGACCTACTGCTCCGTAAATTGGCCGCTTGGTCGATATACTGGTTGGAACGTGACGTCAGTCACGTATAGGGCATGGGGGTTGTTGGTGAAGGTGTTGCCAGCGTCCTTCTGCTCAGACGTCTTGACGCGCTTCACGAGCTGGGCGTACACGACGGGCTCAACCGTCTGGATGATGCGATGAACCATTCTCTCCAGTGTGGATATGCCGATGTTGAAGTCGATCGCATGCTTCTGTCATGTGCTGAAATGCTTTAGCACGGTCAGCGTGATGAACATTGCGTCCTTCCCCGATACCGACGGTTAACTTTCTCGCCCTTGCGTCCACATAATCGTTACAGCAGGCTCAATCAGGGCCCACAGAGCATCCAGCTCGGGGGCAGAAATATTGGCCATGGCCTAGATGGTGTCATCTCCACCCGAAGCAGTGTACTCGGCAAGGATAGGGGAGTCCAAATCCGACACTTCTTCTTCGACGTGACGGGCAATATCAACGAAGTTTTTGTGGCTCGCAACAAGACTGGAGATCTCTTTGGGCTACTGGCGACGAAGGCGCTCAATGACTTGGGTTGCGGTGCTAAGCATCTTGATTTTCTCTAATTCAAAAGTGAGGAAGGCTATCTGGATGTTGTCTGTCTGGTCACCCGAAAAAAACTTGCTCATCATTTGGAGGCTTCTAAGTTACTTTCAAACTCAGATTTATTGGTTTATTCAGTCAACTACATGAATATATTGTAGAAGTGTATCCAACGTTGTTAATTAAATTGTAAAATCGAGTCAAAATTTATTTAGTGAAGTGATTAAAGTTGCCGTTGACATTTTTCAGATCCAACGAAACGAATAACAGCGAAATACATCCGCAGATACAGTATATACCAGTGGAGCTGCCATCGTGAAGTAAAACCTGAAGGATTATCTGGATCGTCACAGCATTGGGAGCTTGCTTATCGCTTGACAATTACTAGCCGAGCGCCGTCACTACACGGCAGTAGCTTAGGTTTGACTCTCCTTGTTAAGACCTTTCGGGATATTTGTACCGACATTTTTAAGCGAAGTCCACAGACATTATATCGTTTTCAAAATGTCGACCGAGTTACAGGTACATGTAGCATTAGAAGGCAGGTAAGCAACCTTCGGTTCACCGTAGCTATTGGCAACCGTCCCTTAACCCCTTCACTCCCGAATTTTGAGACACCAAACGCGTTATTCACGGTACTTTAATGTCGTAACTTACTCCGTAGCTATTTACTTCTTTTCAATATGAGGTGCATAGCCGCATGCGGGAAGGCGTATAAGTTCTCAGCAGGTTTCTTCAGCAATGTCGTCACTTATACAGCATAAGTAAGCTCCTACTACTCTTTATGTCGTAACTTGCCCCCGATCAAGAAAAGAAAGGCGTACACAGTTGTACCATGAATCCTGCCATACCAACAAAGAATGCACATCAATGCAAGAAACTATACATTATGGCCTGCCTAGAACAAGCAGTCATCCTGGACGCCGCTCATCACACCATTACAGATGCGCACGCGCCATAATTATACCTCATCAGTTTCACATTCCTTACCTTCTGCATCGTCCTCGTGGAGCTCCAGTTCTCGGCGCGTTTTCTTCCGCTCCCCAGCCACTTGTCCAGGTCGGCGGAGCACTACTTTCTTACCCAATGCTACTGGAATGCTTTGGCCGCAAACAAAGTTTTCGTACCGGATCGCGAAGCCCGTTTTGGCTTCACCTTTGAAGCTATGACCGATTTCGTTGCAGAGCCAGCATTTCGCCGAGTCAACAGAGCAGCGCTCACAGAAGAACGTGGTTGCATACGACTTCTTCTTCGAGTTGCTTCGCAGCAGCGCGCATACCTTACAGGATCGCTGGCGACGCTTCTGTACGCCACTCACCGTCACCCAATCTTCTGATTGCTCGAGCGCATGTGAAGGCCGAACGGGTGTTCTTCTGCGCTTCCGGGAGTTGGAGGCGGCGTCACATCCACACCACCAAAGTCTGCTGCCTTCAGCTGAAGTAGTTGTTTATGCGGAATGCAAAACCAGTCGCCACGAGACATCGCAGGTGTGCCAGCCAGTCGTGCCGTCTCCTTGTGCGAAATATACGCATTCACTAGCGCTAGATCCACAAACGCGAAGAACAAACACTTGTAATACTTGGTCAACCTTGTAGACGTCTGCAATGATAATCTCTGGAGACGGAGCTGGTCATGGACGTCCACTCCGCCCATCCAGCGCTGGTAATCATTGACGGCTGCCGGACATGGGACCGTTTCCGGCCCAACCCTCTTTACATTTCTTTGGATCGACAAGATCGTCATTGCGGAGCCTGTGCACAAGTAGTGCACGGGTTTGCGATCCCACCAGTGAAACGCTACCATGCTTGGGACTGCCGTCGAACGGGAGAACAGGAAGGAGCCTCGAGGAATAGCCGCAGGTCTAGTTTTCCGATGCTCCCTTACTTGTTTGTCAAATCCAAGTCTATCGGACATTATAGTCCCAACCACGTAGACACTCATACTTAGCAGCTCGATGGCCAGCAGAATCGATGAATAGAAACGATCCATAACCACAAGATGCCACGGGTGACGCTGCTTTGACTCCAGAACCATCTTCATGTTTCGGACGACTGCTGCAGCACCTGTCTTGTGATCAAATGAAGTGTCTCCTGCGTTGCGCTTTATAGCATACATCTCAAATTTAGAAAGTGACGACATAGGCAGTCAGATATCAGTACCGAACCCGTCACTTACGACATTAGCAAAAACATCAGACGAACCTGTGGCAGTAGGCGGTTCTCGAATCACACATCATAAACATTTTCGACCCGTACCGATGAGGCTTATCGGGCATGACATGCGAGTAGTGTTGCGCCTAGAAGTGGATGGAAGCACCCCTTCGTCAAAGAAAAAAACAGCAGAAAGAGTCCATCCAGACAGAAACCGCTGCTGCAGCTTGTCGATAACTGGGCGAAGTTTCCCCAGTTTGTCGCGTGTGCGATTGGCCTCGTTATCTACGAAGTGTAAGTCTCGGAGAATCTCCTGACACCTGTTGCGTCCCATGAGCCGCCCGAAGTTTCCACAGTTTGTCGCGTGTGCGATCGGCCTCGTTATCTACGAAGTGTAAGTCTCGGAGAATCTCCTGACACCTGTTGCGTCCCATGAATCGCCCGAAGTTATCTGCTGGTACCGCACCGTCCTCCGTCATGGACCAGTGATCTGCAAAACTTCTCTTCTGTGGGCACAGCATTCGGGCGACGAGAAGGCCAATGACATGCATTACTTCGTGTGTCTGATAGCCAGCTTTTGCCTTCAATTGGCGGCGTACTTGCGCCAGTGTCTCTTTCTGACGAGGTCCATGTTGGGCGAGGATGGCTTATGCGCGTCTCTTGATGTTTTGCTGGCAGTATCGGTTCGTCTCCTCCGTGATTCTAACCCACAAAGCTTTTGGTAAGAAATAAACAGCGTCAGCAGCGGCGAATGACACTGGCTGCGCAACTCAAGGACTGGTTCCGCGTCTTGCATATTGAGCCCCGGGTAGGGGCGTACGTCTTCCTCATACGACTCCGACGCTAGAGATCAGGTCATCCCACGTAAAGCAGCAGACCGCTGCTGCGTTGCACTCGTCGGCAATGTGCCGTTTCCAATCTGAAGCGACTGCACGAACGCGTTGTCCATCTCTACAGCGTCGTTCTCTGTAACGACGTCATCGCTTTCGTTACCAATAAAGCTGGCGTCGTCGTCATCATCCACGATTTCGCCACTCTCGCTTTCGTCAGAACTGAAGCTTTCGTAGGCGCTCAGGTTCTCGTCCTCAGGGACGTATTTGACGTCCTTCTTTACATGAGCATGCGGTCGGAGCACGCGAGTCGGTTCTGCAGTGACAACATCTACTTGGGCACCGTCGCTCTCAGCCCCTGACACCTCCGATAGTAGTTGTAGGTTGGCATCAGAATCTCGCTGGGAGTCTGCTGCATGTAGCTCGCCCGGCGAGACGTCAAATACTCTGGTCACAGCGGCCTGCGAGAGCTCAACCTCTGAGTCGCTCTCAGATCCGAAGAGTTCATTCAGCGTGTTTTGGGAGAGTATGGCGCTAGTGTCAATCTGGGATGGGCGGACGTCTTCATCCGCATCATCTTCGACCCTCCCACCGTCACCAATCTCCACAACTTCAGCCGCTTCAACATCTTCATCCACCGCGTCGATAGCGCTCTCAACATCATCAGCATCAACATCTTCCAGCAGTCTAGATTCAATAGCATGTACGACAACCGCGTCCTCGCCAACAAACGATTGAACACCATCAGGACTCACATACCTTCAGTCTGTCTGCATGCCGCTGGGTCGCTTGGACGTCCATCCGACTCCGCGAAGCTGACGCCACAAATGGCTGAAGTCGATGTCTCGAGCCACTGCGGCTACGGCGTCTGTTTTTCCACGGGCACTGGCCCGGATGCGCGCCATCTTGCGAATTCTAGAATGACTGGCAGTTGTGTTCCTTCCGTATCCCTTTGACCCGTATCTATTCCTCATCCCTACCCCTGTTGTGTCTCTGCTCACTTTCCCTGTGACCTCTAGCATCTTTTAATTTGAAAATATACTGATTAAACTATTGCTCGAGCCATTTTCTATTGTCGCACGCCACGTCGTAAGATACGACATTGATATTTTCGTATGGCGTAACTTACGACGTCGGGAGGGAAGGGGTTAACTTCGTCTAACAATCAATGACGCAATAATTTGTTGAACAAGGTCTATAAAGAATTGCGAGTGCTTCATGTTTTTAGCACAGTGAAATGCAATGCTAGCCAATGCATTGCGTTAAGCTAGACACATTTTGCCTAGCTTGAATTCTCTAAAGTGAATTTCTCGCTGATGCTGGGTAGAACAACTTAACGGGCTTGGCTACATGTAGCCATATCACTGGATGGTGTCATAAAATGTAAGAACCTTTTCCATCGTGTTCTGCTGCCACTAACCATCAAACTGTTGGCTCTCCTATCAAAGGTGCTCAATCAGAATCCCCCAAGTCTCCTCACCATGGCCACGGAGCTCGTCACGTACGTCTCGAAGCTGCTACCGGGCTCGGCCCTGCCTGATCTGTCCGCAGACATTAAGAAGAAGGACTTTGCTCCTGTCGTTGTGGCCGTACAGCCCAAACTGCCGCAGCTGTTGGCTCTAGAGGCCGAGACTGACGTGGAGGGCGCCTTCGCCCTTCTGTTCGACGTGGTCCTGCAAGTTCCTAACGCTCAGGGCGAGGTGCTCAAGATCCTGCAGGTTATTAAGGATGACACCAAGGCCAGCGCTGTCCTGCGTCTACGTGTGACCGCGGCCCTCTTCAATAAGGCCAGGACGCTGCCTAAGGTGCAGCTTCAAGCTCTACTGAACGTTTTGGACCTGGCCCGGAGCTCCAACAACATTGGTCTCGTGGCGCCTTACTTGACGCAAGTGGATACACTGCTGGTCACACACACACTCAATGTGGAGGACCGTCGCGTGCTTCTATTGGCCGTGGCCAACGTACTAGACCAGGCTGGTGACAAGCTCAAGGTGCTGGCCGTATTGGAGCAGTACCTGGCCACATACGAGCAGGGACAGGTGGCCAAGGAGCAGGCCAAGCGGGCCGCTCAGATCGTGTTGCAGAACCCCGTGGCCAGCTTCCTGGCCCGCGTAGACTTGGCGGCTAACTCTGTGGTTCAGGCCTCGCTTAAGGGCGACAAGGCTCTTGAGCTGCTGGAGATCGTGTCTACCAAGACACTCAAGGAGTATGTGGCCTTCCAAAAGAACGCAGCCGCTGTCTATAAGGACAATGGCCTGGTCGAGGCCGAGCTGGCCGACACGATGCGGCTGTTCACACTGTGCACTCTGCCCACAGGCTTCCAGGCCATCCCGTACGCTGACGTGGCCGCCGCTGTGGACGTGGCCGAACAGGACGTGGAGGAGTGGATCGTGCGGGCCATCACGGCCGGCGTCGTGAACGCCAAGATCGACCAGCTCGCCCGTACTGTGACCATCTCTCGGTCGCTTGAGCGCCGTTTCGGTGCCGAGCAGTGGAAGGAGATCGACGTCAAGTTGCAGCTGTACAAGAAGAATGTCGGTGGCCTGCTCGATATTATCAGGAACGCGCGACGTGCTCAGGAGCAGCAGTGAGCTACACGACGCAGCGGTGGAGAGTGGCCAAACGAACTGTAGAGGATAGAGGCGCCAGTCGCCCGAAACGATCTACTGCTACAGACTACGACGAGGGCGGGGGATGGTTACTAGACAGGATTGCGTGGATGTAAGTTCGTGGGAGCGGAGGCGATAAGAGAGAGAGAAAACACCACTTCGTATTTTTTTGCCATCCAAATGTTACTTTAGGGCACTTATTTTGAGCTACTTTGGCCACCTGGGAATAGCATTTGCTCTTTTTTGTGAATGGAAGGAGGCTATTACGTCCAAGTGGCTTTACGCAGTATGGCCAAACACATCCAACCTGTCTCCGAGACGTCGATTGATGAGGTCAAGCAACCCGATCGACGCTGGGCTAGACGTGCGGTGGGGTACTTCACCTCTTTCGGGTCTTAAGTAACTGCTCGACGCTCATTGTTTTTTTTTACTATTCAGGTCCCACGCGATGCAGCCATTGTGCTAGCCCTGCACATGACATTCAACGAGGCAGTACATGTGCATGACCCAGTAGATCCAAACGAAGCTGGCCGTATTGTATGTTTGCATCTTGATCAGCTAGTTCAAATTGTCTTAAAAGTTATTGTTTCGGTATTTATTTCTTATAGTTCGCATATTCTGTAAAAGGACTCGTCGATCAAATGCTCATGCCGATACTCACAAGTGTAGAGCATGTGCTTCAAGACGGAGATTTATCCTTCCAACGCGATGCTAAGCCAGTGGCTCCGACGAATGTTCGCCATGCGTCGAAACTCATTAAAAGGCGAATAAAACATCGTAAGCAGTTTTATTCAACAGAGAAGACGACCACCTACGGGGCCTACGCGGCATCCCGAGCGTCGTCGCGTACAGGGTCTCGTATTGGCTCACGGCTCGGAGGATCAAAAGTCTCACCGTCAGCTCGTAAAGGGCACAAGATGTCGCTGGGTTTTGGTCCAAATAGCGGAGATTTTATGAATACATCGTGGATAGAAAGCCCCGAATCCAACAACAATTCTCCGTGGCTCTCTTCGTCTTCTCTAGTGGTCAACACCGCGAGAGGCGCTGTCGATTATGTTGAGATGCAACGAAGAGCTGACATCGAACGGGACTTGAGCACTCGTGAGTCTGTTCGTCGCTCCAATGATGAGATCAACCGCAAGAGCGACGTTCGAATAAAACTGCGGTCTCTAGCTGATCCAACAATCTCTCTTGAAAAGGAGGAGGCCATGATAGCGGCACTAGGAGCGGAAGCACAGCGCTCACGTCTGCGGCAGAGTCGAAAAGGAACTCGAGGTAAAGCCCCAGGAATTCCTCCACCCACGCTGTCTCCTTTGAGCGGGACACGTGTGGGAACGAAGGGAGCGAACCTATCGCCACTCGACTCCAATGAGACCATGACTTTCCGAACAGAAGACTACAAAGGGCTCTCTTCAGACGTCGTACTTTATGGAAATAGTGGTGAGCTTTTGGTCTCTCAGAATTGCTTCGTTGTAGAGCACAAACTGCGCCAGGAACTTCTGTACGATCTACATACCCGAGGAGTGATTCAACCACGTATCAAACTTGCGGCAATACCGAAGACAGAAGAGGACGTCAAGATCGGGAAACACTCGGCGGTTACTAAGCAAATTCGCTCACCTACACGACTGCGTTCACCGTTACTTAACCATGGCCCAAACATCAGTGGGTTTAATGATCAGATCGGATCTTTTGAGTCGTCGGCAAGTCCCATGTTTAACTTTCAGGGCGTACCTCTCGCTAAGGGTGTCGCGTTGAAGCCTCCTGATGCTTCATTAACGCAGCCTTCCAATGGCCAGAATGCAGCACAGCCCAAGGCGCCGAAGAAGAATTTTACACCAGAAAGTCTACCGACCACCAAGCTTGAGACTAATCTCAGTCCGTTAATCAAGGCACCAGGTGGCAACAAGAGTGCATTGCTGGGTGACTCGAGTCTTCAGGCACAGAACACTAGACCGACTGACGTCTCATTGGTTGCAAGTGTTCAATCTTCTCGTACTCTAAAACTGGAGCGCAGTGTTGGAAGTCCTGTACAAGTACTACCGAAGCATGTCGTACGTTGATCAGTGTAATATTTTATTATGAACTGGGTTCTGACCACATCAACCTTTTGACAGCATAACGATGAGAAACAGTTACAGAACTTGCGGATTCGAACTCCAGCATGTCCGAATCGACTGTCACACAAGACGCCGTCGTTCATGGGCAGCGATGGAGATGCAGGAACCCTGTTTTCACTCCACGAGGTTAGTTTACATTTTCTGACTGAAGGCATATTTGAGTTTTTGTACTAACTTTAATAAAAAAAGCAGCAACATCCATTTCCCAAAAACCTACGCGATGTCAAGTATGTACGTGAATTTCCGAAAGCGCCAGCAGGGAGCATTCACCACTTTCAGCCCGTAACACAGGGAAATGACTGGAAATTGGCCACCCCGTCACTTATACCAGTTCACCGCAAATAAAATATTACCCTTCCAGTTGAAAAAAAACACACAGATATTTTATTCACTTGCTTCGACGGTCTTGGATTTTTCCAGCTCTTTCAAGCGGCTAACCCGGTACTTGTCAACTTCCTTGTCGCGCTTCATGGTCGCTCCTACGAACGCTGTGATGATTTGAGTATTGAAGATCTGGTACACCAACGTCTGGTTGTAGAAGAAATTCGCGTTGCCAGAGGCCGGAAAGAGCCACAAGAACCACATCACGGGCAACATACATGTAGCCACACCCAGGCCGAGCACGTAGACGAATCGGTTCTCGATCGCTGTCCACAATAAACGTCACATGAGCCAGCGGTCATCGAGTTCGTTAATGGCCAGTCACACGTACTCATTATCGTCTTCGGATGCAACGCCAGCATCGAGAGAAAAAAGCCAAAGTCACCGAAGCTAGGATACGCCTGGAAGAGAGAAAAGATACCGATCAACGCACAGGCGTAGGCTTGGGGACGATGTCTACGGAAGTCAAACATTAGCAGTACATTGTGACCAAAGAGAGAAGAGAGAGAGAGGCGTACGCTAGTCGGAGGTAGATCGGGACGACGTAAATGGCTGGATGCAAGTGCAGCACGAAGAGAAAGTACGGGATGAAGCGGTCGAAGACTTCCATAAAGAAGTACCAGAAAATGCCAACGTTCGGGGTCAAATCCGAGTATTTCGCCACCCACACGTACGTTTCCTGTCAAGGGGAGCACAAATACAAGACATTAGTGACGAGTGTTACCTACTTTAAGTAGTGGAGTATGTCGCACCTCCAGAAACTTCCACCCTCCGGTTAAACTCCACGACAAGTAGAGCAGCAGACACAGCCAGACACTAAACACCAGGAGGCATTGAGCTACTAGAGACGCCAAAGATATTTTTTTTACTGAGCGTAGCAGCAGCAAGATGGGTACAATCAGGAAACATGGGTACACGGACAGATACGCGCCCACCGCCACACACATCATAGACGCAGCCATAGCGCCTACACAAAGTCATACACAATATTAAATACTATTCAGAATATGGTATAAAAATCGTCTCCTACCTTCTGAGGCGAAGACCAAACTGTAGAGCACCGCCAAATGAGTAAACCCAACTGTGGACATGGCTACACTTGAGGCCAGGGAATATGGATTCATCAATGCAATAAAAGCCACTGTCGTTGACAGATTTTGAGGCTTAAACAGTGGCGAAACGGGGATTTGAGTGAGCCAGATCTCCTTATCCTCAAATACGCAGCGACGTCCCTCCTCCAGCTTCAAATTTTTTTCACAGAGGCGAGCGAAGCCCATTGCGAGTAATAGATCCACGATAACAAATACAGCACATGACATAAAGTATTGGAGAGACGCTGGGGTTATCTGCAGCACTGGATACAGTAGAGCGAAGAGCAGCGGGGGCTGATGATACACGTCCCCAGAGTAGGGCGAGCCTGTGGACTGGAAGAGAAAAACTCCCTCCTGTAGGCGGCGAAAGGACGAGACGGATGTCGCCAACTCGGGACGGGTCGATAGTGTCGCGTGTATACATGGCACGGCGTACAGGAAGACCCGTACGCATGTGCCCAGCAGCAGCACAGCAGGTAGACCTAGGCGCGGCATTGTAGAAAAACGGATGTGTCCAATCGGGGAATTGTTTAAACCAATCAGATCAGCGAAAATGGACTCAAACATTAACTTCTTATGAGCGAAATAAAATTATTTTCTAAAATTTACTTTTTTAGGGAAGGAAGTTATTTTGTGGGTTCTTAAATTCCTATGTTGATGTGCCAGCTTCATAAAACTTGCTAGTATTTAGGAAAAAGCACTGAGCTTTTGTGTTAGGAGCATCGATACATAGCTTCTTCGTTGCTGCAATTGGTGGATTTCATCGCGTAGGCGCTCGCTACTCACTTCAAGACCGTCGATGACGTCTTGCTGTTTCTTTCTGTATCGCCTCTGGTTGTCCCGACGACGCTTTCGTTCACTATCTCTTCCCAGCTTCAACAACTCCAATATCTTTGCTTGTTGTTCAGTGGTACCGATTGCTCTGATCTTCTTCCGATGAATTATACGATCTGACTCCTCGAGCTCCATATCTAGACATTCCGGTTGCTCAAATCTCGCTCTCTTTCCCTCGAGTGAAACGGTGTCTGGGGTTCGAGCAGGAAATGAGTGACGGTTCGTCGAGAGCTGCATGGGAAAGTGACTCGATCTTTGAGGTCGGTCTTGTTGTTGTTCAGGCCAACTGCTGGTGGCAATATCTCGGTAGAAGGCTGTTCTAGTTGTCCGTTGCTGAGCTTCACGAATAACACCGTCACTCAGCAGGTGCTTGTTCGGTGGGCATAGCACAGAGTTGCTCATTTTTACTGGCAGCCGATAGGTTGAGTGAGTCCGTTTGAGCATATTGGGGGCTGAGTCGATTCAGAAATGAAACAAATGCTAGTGTGATCCAAGAACCCGTCATGATTACTCGTCTTTAGCCGATTATGATACATGCATCTGCCTGCTGGAACTGTACCGGTACAGGCAGGGGCTAATGGTAACCAAATATCATATGATATTTTTAAAGTAATAGCACTAGTTTCGATATCAAACATTAATAGTAGCTCAGTTTCCAAAAGTTAACAATATTATAATGTTGACTCAGAGATAAAAATTATTAGATAGTACTTTAAATTATTTTTCACTTAAGTACGTTTCTAGAAGATATTTATGAATTTCCCCACTTAAATACGTCTAATGAGTGAACGGAGCAGGACAATTGTGAGAGTGACGGCAAGGTTGGTGTGTTGACACTGCTGAGCGCATTTAATCTAGCGTCACAGGTTACAGGTTTATGAGACGCGCGATGTGGACGAGGCTATCGGCAGAGAACAAGAGCAAATACCTTGATTTGGCTCTATCAACTTCAAACAGTTGCAACCGTTTGCAGTTCTCCATCTCGATCGGCTTTGTGTGTGTCTACTAGAGCAAATACTCGTCAGCTGCCATGACTACTGCTACTTTAGAACCTGGTCGAAAGAGGTTATTGGTGAGCCCTCGGTTTACTCAGCAGAGGGTAAGGTGTCAAAGTTAGTATCTAACTTTTTTTAAATCTCTAAGCTAATATTAACATATTATGTTAGCACTTGAAAAGCTTAGCTACTATTAATATTTACAATCGATAATTGTACTATTATTATCAAAAAAATCTCATATGATACCGGTATGTTGAAGTAGGGAAGGTCCGTCTGCGGACGATAGGCGCCGAGCAGCGTAATCACCTGAAAGGCAAGACATAGGTTAGTAGGATAAGGAATCTAATCTCACTCTCTCTTTTGCGTAGTTAACCACAAGTGCGCCAGAAGTGCAGCCCGTCCGAGGACAGGGCTTCAACAGGTCTTGAGCCCAAATGACCAGAGCCACAGATGAGGCCATCGGCGATGGCGCGCCAGCGCCAACGTCGACAGTGCCCGTTGCCAGTCGCGAAAGGACCGGCATGGCCGACGACACAGAAGAGATGAGCACCGCCGTGGCCCACGAAAGGGGTAGCGGCAACAACGCCGACGCTAATGCGCCGGCGACCGGGGGAACCGCCGCAGAGCTGATGACGCTCTTGCGGGGCGTAGCGGGACAGCTGGAGCAGCTTGAGGAGTCGCAGACCAAGCTGAAAGAGTCGCATGAGACGCTTGAGAAGCAGTTGGACGATCAAGATGCAAGGCGTGCGCGCCTGAATCGCCCTTCGACACCACCCATGAACTCCAGTCTGTTTGCGTCTGGACTCGGCCGCGGGACAAGAATGCATATCGACTCGTTAGGTGGGTCGCCACAGACGCCACTCACAGTGACGCCGCGTAGGCCAGCAGCTGCACCACAGTACTTCGGACACCAGCAGCCTGGCTACGGCATGCCAATGTCTGAGTTACAGCGCCTGTACGCCGCAGCGCACGGAGCGCAGCCGGCAGCACCAGCGCCAGCACCAGCGCCACCACGAGATGGTCGGGCACAGGCTGGAGGCGAGCATTTCCAGCAGCAGAACCAAGGAGTCCGCTACCCGGACGCGCGACAGAAGAAGCTAGCGATTCGGCCATTCGACGGAAAGGAGTTGTACGTAGGACTCGGATCTGGATTCCTCGAGTGGGGTCGACGCTTTGAGAGACAAGTTGCGTTGGCGCAGTCGGCATGTGGGTTCGCGCGGCCGGAAGATGTCAAGGTGGATCTGCTGGGGCATTACCTAGCGGGGACTGCAGAAAGGTACTATAACAAGCAAGTAGATGCCTGGTGGACACAACTGCCCACACTGCAATACGTCATGGAGAGGATGCTCGAGACGTTCAAGACCAACATCACCCCCGCGCAAGCAATGAAGTTGCTCACTGCGCCGAAGGAAGGCAATAGATCGTGGCCCGAACACTATATGTACTTGGTCGCCGTATCAGAGGCATGCGGTGGCGGGGCAGACTGAACAACATCGTGCAGTACGCGTCCGCGGACTTGCGTACAGTGCTAATGGCCAAGGTAGATGGGGCAAGAGCGGACTACTTGCAGCAGGCTGAGGAGTTGGCGCACTTCGCGCAAGCCTGGGAATTAGAACCTGCCAAGCACAAGAATCTCGGCAGAGAAGTCGTGGGCGCCGTGGCTGAGCGCCGCGGCAAGGAGACACGCACCTGCCATGAGTGCGGGAAAGTTGGACATCTGCGCGCAGCATGTCCTGAACGGACGCGAGGGGGCGGCAGGAAGCCCGACCTCACGCTGTCTGTAGGAGAGACGTCGGACGAGTCCGACGCGATGTGGATCTTGGACAGCGGGTCCAGTCGGCACTTCGTGAGCGATGCGTCGTGGCTGGATGACGTCGAGGAGTACTTGGACGAGTGTGTACAGCCAGACGGAAATCCACTCAAGATCAGTAAGAAAGTAACTCTCACGCTGCGCGTCATGGCGAGCGGGACGGAGCAGATCGTGAAGCTCATGGACGTGTATTACGCCGAGAACGTTGTGCACAACTTAATCTCCTACGGCGAACTTGACAAGAAGGGGTATACGCGGACATACAGAAACGGACGACGAGTCGTTGCCGGTGTAGACGGAGGGCGAGTAGCATTTGACGTGGATCTGCGGCATGGCGTGCTAGTCGTGCCTGCCGTCGTAGAGCGGAAAGGAGGAGCCCCATCGGGAGTAATCATGGCGGCTCTTGATCAGGCTGAGGCCGAAATGGGGTCGGGTGACGTGCAGAAGGACACGTTGGTGGAGTTCCACAAGAGGTTTGGACACTTAAGCTACGACGCGGTTGAGAAACTTGCACGGGACCCGAGCTCGGGCATCGTCATCACGGACCACCGCCGCGTCAACTGCTTAACCTGCGCGCAGGGGAAACAGACGAAGAACCGGCAGTCGCAGAAAGATACTGGGGACCACTCGCCGATCGATCGAGTTGGTGGAGTAATCTGCTCGGACTTGAAGGGTCCGATGACGCCGCGAGATCGTCTCAATAACCGCTACATGATAAACTTCGTCGATCATAAGAGCAATTACTGCAGAGTGTTCCCGGGGCGAACGAAAGATGCTGCCGCCAAGCAGTTCGAGCACTTCCTCAAAGCGTTTCGACTGCAGGATTCATGTACTGATAACGGACTCGGGTGAAGAGTACCAAAACGTAGACTTATTCTGCAAGAAGACCGGGGTAGTGCGTCAGCGGAGCGAGGCCAGAAATCAAGCCAGCAACGGGAAGGCTGAGCGCATGCATCGGACCATAATGAGCATGGCACGGTGCATGATCTTCGCCTGTGGACTGCCATTAAACTTTTGGGGGGATGCTGAACAGTACGCGGCCTACATTCTGAACAGGTCGCCGACTAACTCGAACCCGGGGAGAGCTTCGCCGCTGAAGATACTAACGAAGCAGACACCGGCACTAGGCGAGATCGTCGTTTTTGGCTCCCCGTGTACTGTGTATAGAGACCCGCGGAACAAGAATTTCTCGCAGCGTGCCCAGCACGGCATGATCGTCGGGATTGGAGAAGAAACGAAAGGGTACAGAGTTTACCTACCAAAGGACCGCGTGGTGGTCACAACACAACACGTGAAGAACATTGAGACGCTTAACAAGACCCAGAACGAGCAAGTGCAGCGGCTGTACCTGCAAGATGATGACAGTGCTGTCGTGGATGAGTCCACGAGTGGATCTGCGAGCGCCGCTGAGGCGGCCACCACTGAGAGTGCGTCGGCCAGGAGCAGACGCGGGAAAAAGGGAAAGAAGCGATCCAAGCAGAAGAAAACCTGGCAGCGAGAACGTCACGAGACACGTTCGGTCGCAAGAAAGGCTGCGGAGAACACGGACGAGTCCGTGCAGCGGGAGGAGCAAGAAACCAGAGTGGTAAACAATGTGATGGAGGTAGATCCGAGGAGCTACCGAGAGGCAATGCGCAGCCAGTGGCGTGAGAAATAAATGAAAGCTATGAAAGAGGAGCTCGAAGCACTCGAGGAAAACGGAGTGTGGAAGGTCACGCGGCTACCCAATGGGGCGCGTGCATTGCATACAAAATGGGTTTTCAAGACGAAAAGAGATGTTGCAGGATTCATTGAACGGCTGAAGGCGCGGCTCGTGGCCTGCGGGAACGAGCAAGAGTTCGGTGTGAACTATGGGATCACCTTTGCCGCGGTGATCGACATGTGCAGTGTGAAGCTCATCCTGTGCTTGGCCAGGAAGTGGAGAGTCCCAGCAGGACACGGGGATGTACCAAACGCCTACGTCAAGGCGGAGAAGGAGCCGGAACTGGACATCTACATTCGGTTGCCGCAGGGAATGGTCATATCGGAAGAAATTAAGAAGCAGCTGAGCGCCACGAGTGACGACGAGCTGGTCCTCGAGCTGAAGAAAGCGCTGTATGGACTAAAGCAGGCTGGGCGACTCTGGAGCAAACTGCTCCACCAGAAGCTGGTAGACTCGGGATTCGAACAGAGCCTGACGGACATGTGCGTCTACTATCGACGGAAGCAAGGAGTGCTGGTCGTCGTAGGCGTCTATGTGGACGACCTGCTAGTCACCGGCACGGACCAAGACGCGGTGAACGCTTTTTTTGGTGAGCTATCGGATCTGTCTGTGAAGGACCTGGGAGTGGTGAGCAAGTTCTTGGGGACGCGCGTCACGTATGATGACGAGAATGGATACGATCTAGATCAGGAGGTTGCGATCACTGACATCCTGAATGAGTACCAGATGGAGGCGGCGCGGCCGGTGCGCACGCCTATTGGCTTGGAGTGGAATGACCTGCCATTGGATGCAGGCGAGACCTTGCCGTTGTCAGGAGACGGTAGCGCAGTGACTGTTGCGAAGTTTCAGTCTTTGGTCGGAAGTTTGATGTGGGTGGCGCGTTGCACGCGGCCCGACATTGCGTTCGCTGTGCACAAGGCGTCACGCCGGACGCACAACCCGACGATGGCAGACTGGAGACTGGCAAAGCGCATAGTCAGGTACCTGTCGGGAACGAAGGGCCTGCGTCTGCAGATGAAGGGACACAGGAGTTCGGAGGAGCCGCTGGAGGTCGTCGCGTACAGTGACGCGGACTTCGCGGCCGACAAGCAGGACAGGAAGTCCGTGACCGGAGGACTCGTTACTGTGGATGGGATGCCTGTCAGCTGGATCTGCAAGAAGCAGGGCGGTGTATCGCTGTCCACGATGGAGGCGGAGTACACCGCGGCCTCGGTGATGGCCGCCGAGTTACTAGGGGTTCGAGAACTTCTAGGCGAACTCGCCGTCGAGTACGTACAGCCGATGCCGCTGCGAGTGGACAATCAGGCAGCGTTGAAGCAGTTAGGCGGTGAGGGCGCGAGTGCGAAGGCAAAACACATTGATGTGCGCATAAAGTTCGTAGGCTCCTACACGAAGAGGGGCATTCTGGGCCCCGAGTATCGTGAGAGCGAGCACATGCCCGCCGACTTGATGACGAAGGCACTGAGTGCGTCGAGGGTGGCCGACTTGCGAGTCGAAGTGGGGCTGCATTAGGCCTCGAGAGGCAAATGTAGCGAAGGTGGAAAATGAGAGCGCTGGTAGGGATGCTTGACGTTGCCGGCGAGGAGGAGTGCTGAAGTAGGGAAGGTCCGAACCAGAGATCTGCGGACGATAGGCGCCGAGCAGCGTAATCACCTGAAAGGCAAGACATAGGTTAGTAGGATAAGGAATCTAATCTCACTCTCTCTTTTGCGTAGTTAACCACAAGTGCGCCAGAAGTGCAGCCCGTCCGAGGACAGGGCTTCAACAGTGTATACATGGCACGGCGTACAGGAAGACCCGTACGCATGTGCCCAGCAGCAGCACAGCAGGTAGACCTAGGCGCGGCATTGTAGAAAAACGGATGTGTCCAATCGGGGAATTGTTTAAACCAATCAGATCAGCGAAAATGGACTCAAACATTAACTTCTTATGAGCGAAATAAAATTATTTTCTAAAATTTACTTTTTTAGGGAAGGAAGTTATTTTGTGGGTTCTTAAATTCCTATGTTGATGTGCCAGCTTCATAAAACTTGCTAGTATTTAGGAAAAAGCACTGAGCTTTTGTGTTAGGAGCAGGATTATACACTTCTCTAAATTGTGCTAAGACTTTTTTGTTTGTACGTAAGTTTATTAATTTAGAAAGCGGGCGTGCAGCTCAAAACGACTTCGTATTTTTAACTTTTTTTTCGTCTAACGTTACTCTCTAGACAATTAGTATTACCGTTTACTGTGGGTACAGGAAAGTTGACTGTAATTTAATGGTTTGGAGTGCTTTTGCGTCAAAGCAAGCGCTCGTTTGAGCTCCAGTGAGCTTATATATTTCTATCTTGACTGCTACTACAATTAAACATTAAAACGAGAAACAACACTGATTACATGCAATGCTGTTTTACTTACATTGTGAACAATATCCATATGTACTGAAAACTGTCGATGTGGACTGGCCTCACCTATGTTGTAAATCTGGGGTAACGAGAGACTGTTCAAACACCTGGGCTACCAATTCCAGGCTACCGAGGAGCTGCAACATCGGCGTCAAAAAGTCCGACTGGCTTGCCACATTAGTCACACAGCTGCGACGACTATCCCACTCAAATCGGGTCGATCCCCTCAGCACAAAGCGCTTGTTTAACAACTTATTCGCGAGCGGGGTCATTGTGCCTCTCTCCACGTCGCAGAGGTGAGGAAACACTTTTTGCAGTGTTGTTTCAACAATCGTCACACGCGTTGTCGTCCTAGCAACCAGCGTTTCTCGACCATTCCTTTCCAAACCTTCAACCTCGATCATCACCCCATCAAACCACTGCAATATGCTCCAATTGCTCAAAATTGCTTTTGTCCCATGGTCTGCATTGTAGACGACGTCGGCAGCCATCGTAGTTTGCATGAAATGTAGCAAATAACTGAGCTGGGATGATTCAAGAGAGGACAATTGCCTCTCGCCAAGACAGAGGCTTAGGTGACAAACACGAAAGTAATGGATCGCCACGTCCCAAACGCTGCCGTTTGTCGATACATAGCTTCTTCGTTGCTGCAATTGGTGGATTTCATCGCGTAGGCGCTCGCTACTCACTTCAAGACCGTCGATGACGTCTTGCTGTTTCTTTCTGTATCGCCTCTGGTTGTCCCGACGACGCTTTCGTTCACTATCTCTTCCCAGCTTCAACAACTCCAATATCTTTGCTTGTTGTTCAGTGGTACCGATTGCTCTGATCTTCTTCCGATGAATTATACGATCTGACTCCTCGAGCTCCATATCTAGACATTCCGGTTGCTCAAACCTCGCTCTCTTTCCCTCGAGTGAAACGGTGTCTGGGGTTCGAGCAGGAAATGAGTGACGGTTCGTCGAGAGCTGCATGGGAAAGTGACTCGATCTTTGAGGTCGGTCTTGTTGTTGTTCAGGCCAACTGCTGGTGGCAATATCTCGGTAGAAGGCTGTTCTAGCTGTCCGTTGCTGAACCTCACGAATAACACCGTCACTCAGCAGGTGCTTGTTCGGTGGGCATAGCACAGAGTTGCTCATTTTTACTGGCAGCCGATAGGTTGAGTGAGTCCGTTTGAGCGTGTTGGGGGCTGAGTCGATTCAGAAATGAAACAAATGCTACCGGTAGTGTGATCCAAGAACCCGTCATGATTACTCGTCTTCAGCCGATTATGATACATGCACTGGAACTGTGCAGGCAGGGGCTAATGGTAACCAAATATCATATGATATTTTTAAAGTAATAGCACTAGTTTCGATATCAAACATTAATAGTAGCTCAGTTTCCAAAAGTTAACAATATTATAATATTGACTCAGAGATAAAAATTATTAGATAGTACTTTAAATTATATTTCACTTAAGTACGTTTCTAGAAGATATTTATGAATTTCCCCACTTAAATACGTCTAATGAGTGAACGGAGCAGGACAATTGTGAGAGTGACGGCAAGGTTGGTGTGTTGACACTGCTGAGCGCATTTAATCTAGCGTCACAGGTTACAGGTTTATGAGACGCGCGATGTGGACGAGGCTATCGGCAGAGAACAAGAACAAATACCTTGATTTGGCTCTATCAACTTCAAACAGCTGCAGCCGTTTGCAGTTCTCCATCTCGATCGGCTTTGTGTGTGTCTACTAGAGCAAATACTCGTCAGCTGCCATGACTACTGCTACTTTAGAACCTGGTCGAAAGAGGTTATTGGTGAGCCCTCGGTTTACTCAGCAGAGGGTAAGGTGTCAAAGTTAGTATCTAACTTTTTTCAAATCTCTAAGCTAATATTAACATATTATGTTAGCACTTGAAAAGCTTAGCTACTATTAATATTTACAATCGATAATTGTACTATTATTATCAAAAATTCTCATATGATACCGGTATTTGGCTACCATTCCCCCTAAGTACGGAAAAACTGCATTTTGCAGTTGACATTGCAGTTAGCTTCTCGAGTGCAATAGAGTATTGCAATCGGCGGAATTGGGCATTGCAAAATATTATTGCACTACTTCACTATTAGCACCGGGCTTTTTTTCTATGTCATACCGCATCTACCTGAGCCAGGGCCTTTAACACGACCAAATTAAGCAGCTACAGTACATTGTACTGTACTGAGCAGAAATGTTATTTTTATTGAGACTGGCAAAACAGCAATAAAAATAATTTTAAGTGCTTGGAGCACCACGGGTGCACAAATTATTGGTGTTATTGCATGCAATATACAGTGGGCTGATACTCGTCTAGTTGGTGGGAGCCTCACCACGCACAACCTGTGGCAGCGTTCCAGTAGGCTCAGTTCAGCGAGCAACCATCAAAATGAGAGGACAAGAGCGTGGCAGATCGATCGTAGATTGCGGTTTAGCTGGACCGCTGGTCCGTAGGGCTCCATCAGCCCGGTTAAAGGTTATTGCCTGGAGAGACCGCAGAATAAATTATTTGATTTTGAAATGGGAGCTCGAAAATAAATTATTTTACTGCAAAATAAAATATATATTTAATAAAAATAACATTTTCGGAACCCCTGGTACTGAGTGCAGTAAAGTCACTTTACTAAAGTGTTGGCAGAGCAGCCGCGATATACAGTAGCATTCTCGCGGCATCTACACTCTATTTACTTCGTTTTCCAATCTGCTCACTCGGAATACGAAAACCAAGTCTTACACCATTCATACTCGCTGTTCTTGCACAAAGACTTCTTCGCTACTACATGTATTGGGGGTCATGATCCTGAAGACAAACCGAGCTTCTGGAATTTAAAACTTGTAGCTAGGGCCATCGGAGAGGCACACGCTGATGAGAGAGGATAGCAACAATTTCTTAACTGCAGTTAAGTATTACAGATTCAACTCCAATTGGGCATTGCAATTTCTAGCGTTCATGCAGTGCTCTCCTTTTGGTTGCAATACATTTCCGGCGGATAGACCAATTGATTTATTTCCTTCCCTGCTTCGAAGTACGACGTAATAGCTATTAGAGTTGGAGCGTTTTTAAAGATAATGTTCGACATAATTCTATGTTTGTTACTTCCTAGCTAACGTTGAGTTTTACTTCTAGCTCCAGATGACCCCCTCGAGATGCTCTGGGTACCCACAAGACCAGTGATCCACCTCCAGTGCTTGGAAAGCCGAGGAAACCAGGACGCCAGCGGTCCAAGTACAGTGTTTTTCCACCAAGAAACGTGATGTTCGATGTCCACTGGGCAGTGCCTCCAGCTTTTACATCCACCTCTTCGATCTTATCTCCTCCAGACATGATATTCACCGACACATCTTCCGTGTCAGTACTAGTGAAGTTGACTATTACTGCACCGTCACCCACTTTTGTCCACGAGCTCGAACTGCCCTTGAAAGCTCTCTGCAGGGCATTCAAACCCAATGTCGCGTCTTCCGTGCCGTCATCGATCTCGCCCATGAACTGCGTGGGGCCACAAATGGTCTGAATATACTCAGACAGCAGCGTCGCGATATCCGTCGGGTCGATCATCGACGCGGAAATAGTAGATAGACCCATATCGATCCACTTGTAGGCGGCCGCTTTCTCGTCTAGCGACGTGCCATTGTCACTCTTACCAGACTTGATCAAGTCGTTGATGATGACGCCGAAAGTTTTGCGAAGCGCCTCGCGAGTCTTGTAGGCCGTTTCGACGCTAGACTCGGAGGTGAGTTGGCGCATGCAGTTGTTGGTGACTATGGCGACGTCATAGAGTACAAGGTCCGACTCGCTGATCTTCAGACGAAGCTCGTCGTCTGAGATGGCTGGATTGTCTTCACGGTACTCGTTAACCGTCATCCACACACGGTCTGTCAACGATTTCAGGTCGCCCGCGCAACTCGAGTTTTGTTGCATGGCTGTCTCCAGTGACGCAATCTCGCCCTCCGTAATCTCTTCCGCTGCTTCCGTGAAGTTTGCGCCTTTCATGAAGGCTCGGAATCTTTGCCAGCTCGAGATAATATCATCGTCGTAGGCAAGCGCCTGTAGTAGCATCCACTGGGCAGTCGCTAATACGATCTGCGTGAGGCGAAGGGTTGAAGGGATGTTCTTCCCCATACACGCGTAAATGACCATTGGCAAGTCGGTCACAACATTGTTGGTCTGGTACAGCATCAGCAGCAGCTTCTGTTGGGAAGTCTGCGGGTCTTCAGTCTTGACATTACGGACGTACCTGATGATACCTCTCATCACCAGCAGCAATTGGTTCGTACACTTCACGGCCCACGTTAATTTCTTACCCAGTTTGACCATTTCGCCAATCACACCAAACGTGGCGGTACCCAGCACAGCCATAGCCAAAGCTGAAACCTTGCTAGCGACTTCGAGGCCACAGTCACTGTTCTGGCGGGCACATTCCATGCCGCACTCGAGAGGAAACTCCAACGGACATTCAGTCCAACAAGTGTTTGTCAGTTCGTTCCGGTCAAAGTTACGAGGACAAACGTCCATGATGTGGGCTTCACGGTAGCACGACGTGTCCGACGAGATACTCCACGGCCCCACCCAGTTGCGGTAAGTTGATCGGACGGTACTTACGGCTGTGGAGGGGGTGGCATACTTCTCGAGGAGAGCTTCACTGTCAAACGAAGCCGACCCAGCCGCCAAAATCAGTGCGCTTGGAGGTGTGTCAGGTAACGAGGGTCTTCTTGAAACACTTGGTCTTGCAGTTGCCGCCGGGGTCTTCGCCTCCGTATCATGTGACGAGGAACTTGACGTTGAACCACTGTCGTCCTTCAAGAAGGTCCAGTCAATACTCATCGTCCCGGTAACACTTGCCATCACAACTAACCACGCGAGTGCCAACCTCGAACGAATCATCTGGGATGACTTGGATCAAGTCTCAAAAGTACCAAGTGTAATCGACGTTGGTAAAAGCAAAATAAGACTCATAACCTGCACACCAATTGACCCGCGCATTGCGAGTGTCAAGACGAAAAGTGGTGACCTGCGCGAAACACCACGCTCTTAAAGGATTAGCTAACAAATCAAGAATGTGCAAACTCGCCATTATTATATATTATTCTAGTTTATTAAATTAAAAATAACGTTATGAGTAATTAGAAGATCTGAAAGAAACTAACGAAGATAGGGTATGCGTTTTCGAAAACATAATACAAAACTTGATGGTGTTGACAAAGATTTGCTTGATAAATTGGCACGTTTACGAGCCAAATTAATGTTTTTACAGAGTCTCTCACAGCAACACCCACTCGGCATTCTTACCAAGTCCGTTTGCTTTGTCAAGCTGTATTTTTACAAAGGGGATACATAGGATCTTTCATTATTAATCGTGCATCTGACATGTTTACTTCTGCTGTAATGTTAATTCAAATCTCCGAGAGGAGATGATACAGCCAGAGAGCAAATACTATCATGCAAAACAGTGTGTTTCTACCTACGTGTGTAGGTACAAAACACCAACCATCTTTAAACTTTCGTTTGCTGCATTCTTTTTGGCTATACACCAGAGGCTCATCTGATGCCCAGCCCGAAAGGCGATGAGATATGAGCGAACTTGCAAGAAGGGCACCGAAATTTTCGGTTTCGGCGAAAAGGGTTGTGCAAGTACATGTACCGTTACAAGCGAAATCAACTCGTGCTACATGTATGTATCAACATCGAGGAGGATGCATCGGTGTTGTACTCGTCGTGTTGTATTCTGCACGTGCTTCAATTTATCGCGTTAAACGATATTTTCGAATCTATTTAAAAAGCACTTAGAACAGCTATTGCGATCTTCGCCAGACAACATATGCATACTCCTAAAAAATAGTAGCCCAACAGTACTGCTCTACATTACTGTTGCTTAACGAGGTTTTGATGATATTGCTCAGTGTATGTCACGAACAACACTTTGGACTTGAGCTGACAAGTATTGAGAGGCTTTCCATCTCAACGTCACGTCATTCTAAAATAGACGAATTACCCATCTATCTACCTTCACTGCAAACACTCAACACGCACAGGATCATTTTTAATACTTTAGCATACCTTTCTGGACTGTATACCGGGCCATCATGATGCTCGATCAACACTGTTGATTCAACAGCACGGCATGAGGATCGTGAGGGGAAGTTCACGGCTGTCTGCTTGTTGTACAGCAAGAGTAATACTCTCATAGAATATTGAGTACCGAGTTTCACTCTGTTCGGTTTGCAGGAATCGTGCAATGAAATACATGGTAAACCTACACGTCTTGGTGTATGTTCGGGTTGTCATTCAGTGCACGTCAACACACTTAGTCAGCACCTTTGTACATGTACAGCTTGTGATGACCTACAGTTGATGGCGACTCGCTTGCTGTCGAGTCGCATCATGCCCTGGCGGCAATCCGGTTCCGTATTTATAGACATGACAAATCCCATCTTCCGACGACGGATTGTAAACTGATGGTCGGCTTCAACGTAACCCTGTGATCGTAACCGGTTACAGTGTAACTTACACACATCATAAAACCACATGTCATTTGGTGGATAGGAATGTTGGACCTGACAGAACTTCTGTCTGCAGCCCGCGACTTATCTGCCGTGCCCGTATTGGAGGAATCGGACTTCCACCAGGGAAGATATCGCGACGAAAGCGTACTCAAGTTCCGCGGTGTGGTTCGGGGTGTGCAGGATCCGGAGTTGGTGTTGCTGGACGGCGAGGCTCCCGCACTGACGGATGGAGACGCCGTGCGCCAACAGTTGGTGGAGCGTGTACCCCTAACAGTCACTCTTTCCCCTCATGCGAGTGACTGGTCCACCATCGCGTATCGAAACGTTTCAGTGGTCGAAAACTTAATACAGAGTGATGGTCGCTGTAGTGCGAATGAACGTCTCTCATCTTCCAAGGGCACCAAGCGCTCCAGCGCAGCCGTGGACGAGCAAATGGATGACGCATCTGAGCAAACACAGGACGATTCGCACGTAAAGAAACCCAAGGCGATAGAGAAGCAGGAGGACGGCAATGAGGGGTTATTACTGCCTCAAGCCGTCAATATCTACGTCTACGAAGGCCAGTACAAGGACACGCCATTAGACGCCTTCAAGGTAAACGAAGCTTTCGAGTTCGTGGGAATTTTGGACCTCATGGTGCCTGGAACAGACAGCCAGAAGAGCGATAGTGAGGCCGGTCTAAGCGCCAAGCAACTCGAGGAGCTGCAGATCTCCGACTGCATCGACGAGGTGCATCGCAAAGGGCGATCGGGCGTCGTCTTGCACTGCTGTCACGTCAGCCGCTTGCAGAGTGTACACCACGTGCGTCCTCACGAGTCGAGCGAGTTCTATGACCAGATCCAGGAGAGCAACGAGTCGCGGACAAAGTTCTGCCAGAACGAGTGGCGTAAGCTGGGGCAACAAGCGCATGTTGCCGCGATGCGCGCACAGATTGTACAGTATTTGGCACACACCTTGTGTGGAGACACCCTGGCTGCCGAGTACTTGCTCTTGGGGTTACTATCGCACGTGTACTCACGCGCCGATCCGTCGACGCCATTGGGCAATTTATCTCTCAACTTGGCTCTAGGCAAATCCTGTACTGAAGAGCTGAAAATTGCTTTTATTGCGGACGTGGAGAAGACTTTGACGTCCCTGATGCCGATGGTGGCGCGCGTGGATCTGTCGCTCAAGGAGCTCAACTCGACTAAGTTTATGCCGCACAAAGATTACGAGCGAGAGCTGCTGCTGAGTGGCGTGTTGCAGGTGGCCAATGGGACGACGATGCTGGTCAATGAGACGGCCTTGTCGGCGGGCCAACTGAACGACCAGGGCGTCAAGAACATGGCGGCGTTGCAGTCGCTGGTCGACAAGATGCTGTTGCCCTACGACTTCCACTATTACAACATGGATTTCCCTCAGGATGTGGCAGTAGTCACAGTATCCGAGGGAAAAAGTATTCTGCCTGTGACGGTTGCTGTGCCTGTCGTCGCTACTGACAGTGATACAACCCACGAGCAGCCGACGCAACAGGTTTTAGAGTGTTTCCGTCTCTATCTCAGCGTCTTGCGCTCGTTTGTCGTCACGATCGGCAACGAGGAAGCAGAAATGGCCGAGAAACACTACGTAGAGTGCCGCAAGTCCGAGCAGAAAGTGGCGGTGAGTTGTATACGTATACGTATACTTGCAGAAAGTGTATAGTCTGACTGAGTCAATGCAAAATGCAGCTGGAAGATCTTCATCGCTGGCTGCGACTCGCTCGTCTGGTAGCGCTCAGTCGTGGGGAAGGACAAATCTCCAAGGAGTGTTGGGACACGATGTTGACACTGGAAACTGGACGACTTGCTCGTCTTCCTAACGATAACAAGACTGCATGAGCCAAAAGAGATAATGAAAGATAACACGTCGCATTTTTGAGGGTCTACGACTCGTGTGGTTGGTGCTTACTGCACTATGCCACCACGTAGCTGTCTGCTTTATCCGTTTGTAGGCGTCCACTTCTGGATGACCACGACTAAAAAGTCTTTTTCTAAACAATTATGACGATACAGCGTTAAGAATCTGAGACCGGAGAAGTGGAGACTTCAGCTTACCATGAGCGATGAGAAGCTCGAGTTTCTTGACGCGGATGCGCATATACTGCAGATCGTTCTTGGGGTTCAAGTCCCGTACCACGCCACGCGCCTTTGTGGTAAGCTCCTTCATGTACTGCGCGTACTTTTCGGCCTCGGCCACTTGCATCTGCGGGTGACGTCTCAGCACATTGCCATTGCGATCGGCGATCACGTAGCCTTCCACGCCCTTGTGGTTCTTGATGCGTTCTAATGTTTCCTCCACCTCAGACATGCTTTTCTATGTGAAAGATCTACTGCAACGACTCAAAAGGCGTCTTCCCTGTTTTTAAACGTCATTTTTTACAGGTTACTCATCAGTCTGGAAGCAGATTCGGTGGAAAAACCTCGGCGGTTCGTTTTGGAGCTTAAGAGTTGAAAGGTCGCGAAATGGAGGGCAAATTTATTCGTTTCGTGATTGATCAGTAGAATTTTTCTCGGGTCGTATACGAATTCGGATTCATGTACAGTATTCTGCGTGAATAGCGAACGCCTGATATACACATGTATATGCCAGTCGTAGTGTATAAAACGACGAGCGAAAAACAGCCCGTATTGGTATAAGTTAACAAAGCGAATAATTGATGCTCCCTTTGTTAAGTCCGAATGTTGCCAGCAGTGTTGAATGGTTGTCGCGCTCACCTAATGCAGTAAGTAAATCCACTTTATAAGGCTTAACTGGTTGCTTTAGTAGTGTAGCTGACGACTTGAAAACACCTTACATGGTGGCTTTGCCGGGAGTAATTGGGAGACAGAACTCATTTACGGCCCATTCAGCGATTGCCTCGTAGGACATAGTAGGGGAGAGTGCTTGTTTCTTGATAATGGCCACCTTCTCGACCCAGGTAAGGCGTAGCCGCTTCGTAGGATTGTGGGGTATGGCGGATTTGGTAGCTGAGCAACGGCGGGGTAAGTTTAAATGTGAAGGTCCGTTAAACAACTTGTGCATACGTGTGCAAGGCGAAAAAAGATCGCCAAAAGCGCGCCAATTTCAAATGTTGAAATGTACTGGATTTTATTGCTTAGTACCTCCGGTGGATTCAATCTTAGCTCAATACCTTTGCACATCACCTTCTTGGTATGCTGATAGAGTGGTACGCTGTGGTAGTATAAACGTTCGTGACTCGTTCGCTATTCACGCGGAATACTGTATGAATACAATCGCCAGAAAAACCAGGTCATGTTATTTGGCGAACCACTCAGGATGGACGAGATCACCCAATTCGTGCGACCGAGCAGAGCTGACTCTGGAGCCCTACTGCTATCTTTTTCGAGAATATGTGTGGCATACTTTAGCTCCTTTCACCCAGTGGATGCTTTTCGAGCGAAATGCAGCGGAGTAAGTAAAGAGGGTTCACCTTTTCGGGGTATCTGAACAGTTAAAGGTTGCGAAAGCGACAGATATAGCGTAGGAGTAACAGCTGCTGGCGAAGGTGTAGCTTCTTGAATCTGCAAAATGCACTATAAGTAGGTCCGTCAAGAATTTGAGACGGGTGCTCATTCTCAAACTTCCTCCGTCGCAGTTAAAACCTCCAAGGCCCACCTTCTCGGACAAGTACAGCAGTCGACAATAGCTCCAAGCTACTATTATCTTTGTCCAGGTGCTTTCAACGTCGTCGGCTTCGCGTACGGAAAGGCCGAGAGCACAGCCCCTCGAGAAGGCAAAGTAAAAGTGAAACGTTTCCGTAGTGGACGCTGGGTGGATGAGAAGGAACAAGTGGTCGAGCTGCATCAGGACGAGCCCACTGTGCGAATCGTGTCTGCGGAGGAAGCGCTGCACGGGGCGGGCACGTTCGTAGAAAGTGTGATCTGCACCGCAAAGTTCAAAGTTTGAACTTCAAACCAGGAAGAGCGCGCGTCTGGGACTATGGCCTTGTTCCTGGATACAAATGGGACACAAGCCCGTTACAAGGTAGGCTGGACGTGAATTTTTGCGATGGCGAGATCTTCGTTAAATACGACTCGGGAGCAGCTCAGATGTGGCTGTTGAGGTATATGCTTTACGATCTGGTGATGGAAAAAGCACCAGCCTACTTATGACGGCTGAGATGGAGCAAACACACACCCGAGTGTACAATCATTTAATGGCATTGAACAAGCCACGACTCAAGACTCCAAGGTACTTCTCTCTATGGTCAATGGAAAGGAGATATACGAGGCCAAGATGACACCTCTTTAAGATATTTCCAGCTTTGGGGTGTTTCAAGAAACGGTTCGCCACATTCTCGATTTTGTATACTACAAAGAAGGGGGAGGGGCGGCAGCATTCGGTGGGGCGACCTTTGGTGATACGTTATTCGATAATGCTGAGGGAGGATCAGGCCAGGGTGTTTCACCTGTCTCAAATGGGGCGGAGCAAATGCTTAGTGATGGCCTTAGTGACTCTGAAGACGATACCTAGTACCGAACAGCAACCGGCCGTCAAACGCCGACGTACAACAACAGCCCCCAGCACAATAGCTAGCTAGGTGACGCAGGCCTCCAGCGCTGGTGGACGTCGGACAAGACGTCGACTAACTGATCGCTCTGCAACGAGATTCTGCATTAGCGGGTGATGCTCGGTAAGTAATAGGGAGCCATGATGATGGACCAGCCGACCGACAGCAATTTCACCTCACTGGGATGCAGACATCGATCCACGTTGGACTGGTCAGCGGTAAGTACGCTACGATGCGCGGACAACGCTTTGTGAGTTTGTGCAGATTTACTGTAGAAATTTTGGTTTCTTTCCACGCCCTGCTGTCTTGCGTTCACTCTTTAGATGGGATTTTGGCATAAGAGGCTTGTCAATTTTGCATTTTTACCGCATCACTCAGCTCGAGAAATGTACACGGGTCCAAGTAAACGACGGAGGACGTACTGTTTACACCAATAAAAACACGAAAACACCAAAACTATACTATCGGCACCGCTAAAGCACGGCTAGCACAGTAATATCACGAGCATCACCAATTTTTAAGACTGACCACCGCAATAGTACGTCCTGCACCAACCATAATTCAATCGCTAATTTTGCCCAATCCCCAGCCTGATCGTCACAGAAATATCGTCCAACGAGCGCAGTTCCCCGGCGAGGGGGGGGGGTTAAGGCAAGATCATTTTCCAACCAGCCGCATCAAGCTCATTCTTCCAGCTCCTTCATTTTGAAATGACCATTCGACACCCCTACCAGCTTCTCGCCTCAGCAATGCCATGCGTCCAGGCAGCGAACCTTCTGGATGGTTTCAAGTGGCGAAGAGTGAGCTGGCCCCGTGCTCCGTATGCATGGCCCCTGCCCCGCATCCCATGAGAATTCAGCGCCTGTTTTGCGCGTGCAAGGCTTGCGCTGACGTAACGTCGGCACAAGAGTGTCCGTGGCGAGCCCGGGTCATGTCCTGTCAAGAGAAAGGCTTAGTGACGGTCGAGGAGGCATACACCCATGCCACTCCAGCACGCTCGCCACGCAAGCTGGTGCTGACCCCACCAATGAAGGAGGTGGTGAAGGACTGGGCAGCCCAGGGACTGAAGCCCAAGCGCATCTATAATGCACTTCTTCAGCGTTTCAACCTGACCGAGGCGACTGCGCCCTCTCTATCAACTGTGCAGCGTTTTGCGCATCACCATGTTACGGGACGGCTTGGGGGAAGTGACCTTCTGGACTCCGTACGCAGAAAAATCAAGGCCTCAGGGTTTACGGGACACGAAGATGAAGCAGCTCCGTTCACATTCACAAGCCGCAGTGATACAGACGGCAAGCCAATCACTGGCAATGGCAGTGACGCTGATCCGTTTGTGGTCGGTGTTAGCTCGAAGAAACTCCTACGCCGTGCCGACCGTGATCCAGAGTCTTTCATCTTTCACTTGGACGCGACCTACAAGCTCACGCAGGTCGGGTATCCAGTTATCGTTGTCGGGATCTCGGACAGGGCAAGACGATTTCATTTGTTGGCAATATTTATTGTCTCGCAACAGCAGCAACTACACTACACCGAGGTGCTTGCGCTCGTGTGTAAGATGTACCAAACTATAGTTGGTAAATTTCTCAGGGTACGCTATGTGATGGGAGATGCTGACGCAGCCCAATGGAACGCGGTGAACGACGTGTTTGGGCAGGGGGGGGGGAATTTGTATTTCTGATGTGCTACTTTCATGTGGCAAAGAAGGTATACGAGAAAACTCGCTCGGTGGGGTCTGTTGCGGCCTCCTCTGTCATGAAATACATTCATGAGCTCCATTTCTCGACGGATGAGGCGGCCTACAACTCGTAGCTAGGAGAAGCTCAAGCGAGATGGTCAAAAACTCCGGAACTGGCGAAATTTGCTTCCTATTTCTCAAAGGTCTGGCTGAACGAGAGGGTGTGGCGTTGGCAATGTTTCCATACACCGACTGGTTTTGCGACAGCGAACAATCCATGCGAGACGTACAATGCAGCGATTAAGAGAGATGTCACGCTCCGCAGAAAGCTGAAGGTCGGCGCCCTACTGCCCCAGCTACTTACTCTTTGCCGAAGTGAAGCTGTCACCGCAAGACCATTTGCCGTGTCCCCGGAGCCAGATTCTCGGTTGGTTCGTCGAGCTCGGGCGATGTCGCGGGCGGGCTTGCTTGAGCTACACCACCAGTCTCGGAACAGTATCGCATTTTTGCTAGCTATTACGACTGAGGCCGAGCCTTTGGATACAGTCCGTGTTATTAGCAAGCCGTGCCCGCGTGTACAGGATGAGATTCGCCGACGCAACGTTGAGGACTTACCCGTTACAGCCCAGCTGAGCAAACTGACTGCCGAAATGGAAACGCTTGGTATGCCTTCGAAGGGGTGGCTGATTGACATGAATTCGGGTAAGTGCCCTTGTCCCTTTTCGATGAAGCACGGCTATTGTGTGCACACACTCTACGCGATGGAATGCTGTGGAACTATGGATCTCACTGGACGTCAGACACTTGTCAATCGAGGATTATCCGGTCGCAAAAAGGGACAGAGCTCCCGCGGGCGCCCACGCAATAGTGGTGCGGCACTAGAGATGGAGTAGGATCTAGATTGAAGGAGATTTTAAATGTCTAACGTCTTTGCTTCATAAATCTCGACGGTGCTCAAGTCAGTTTACGTATGCTTATATCATGTCATACTTGTATTCACTTAATTTCCTCCATTATTGAGTTCGTTCAGAAATTTCCTTTTGCGTTGCTCTTAAATGCCATGTCTCGCAGAAATGCCGGGGTGCTACCGGCTCACGATATTTAGTCATTGCAGCGATACGAGCTCCCGTGTTCTCTCAATAATCTTTAATGGTTTAGCTTAGTCAGGGATGTGGAATAACTTACCAATTGTCACTACCGCGTCTTTATTACGTAAGACTGGTCATCACGTGAGCCCACCTCATCTTTCACCTACTTCACTCTTTTAAAAATACAGCCAAACATTCCGTCAAATACAGGCACCCTTTGCTGAACGCTAAACGTATCATGCGTTATCGGGGCTACTAGCTAAATAAAAATTCAAGTGATAATATTGACGCTAAACGCAAACTACGCAATGACTTCTTTTACTCTTTCTTCAATTTTGCTCTTTACAAAACCCGCTTCCACATACCTACAAAGTAATCCAGCAAACCCATCACATCAATGATAACAATACTTGTTTGGGCTGCTAGTTATGTGAATACATTCATGAAGTGAACTAATTGGACACGTTACGAAATGTAAAGATGACTCTAACGTCTTACGTGAAGGTGTCTTTATATTTAGTTGACAAGAAACTTACATATATTATAGCACATCTATATGCAGCGGAGTCGTGGATGTTTTGACGGGGCTGCCACGTCAAGAAATTAAGACGTTGAAGTTGCATACTTTACCACTTCAACGAGTTCCCAACAATAAAAAACGAAAAGATCACACCTAAATTTAGATTATCTAGTACGTTCTTACTGTTGCTCCACCGAATCGCTCGTGTCAGCGTTTGTCCTCTTCGCTGGTCGCATGTTCTTCATTTTGTCCAGTGTGATGCTCTTCTTCGTGCGCCTTTTCAATGACCGAGTAGTCGCTGCATTGCGCGCGTAATTCGACGCAGCTGGCGTAGGAAGTTGGGAAAGAAAATGGGCGCGCTCACGCTCGAAGTATATCTGTCGCGCCTTCTCGTCCTTACACTCTTTCATTTTCCATTCTCTTTTCTCCATGGCGCAATACGCTGACAACGTCGACTCCCATGCTTTCAGTGAGCCACGCCGAGCGCCCGAGGTAACGCGAGTAGCGTAGCGAAAAGATGCCAATCTGTCCTTAGCGCTGATAATCACGTTGCCAGAAATGGCCCCCCACCTTAGGTGATCCGGCGTACCGGGGATAAATCCAAGTAGAACAGAATGATATACCAGCATCTTCAAATAAACCACATCACCCGGGCGCTGCACTAGTACGCACGATTTGGTTGTGTCGATCATGCGATTGAAAGTGTCGTTTCCGTTTTCAAAACTAAACAATTCTGCACACTTAGGCATTCTGAAGAACACCCAAATCTTGAAGGTGTGCGTGAGGCTTGGAGGTATATACGACACTACACGACCATGGTCTGCGTGAATCGGCGAGATTCGATTCCCGCTTTGAAGCCATGACTCCACAGGGTACACGTAGGCCTCATCGGCAGGAAATACCAGCTTAGAGTAGTATCCAGGAAGATTGACTATGAGTTGATCGCAAGGGGTTGGAATCTTCTTTTCCCATAGGCTCTCAACACGACGCTGAACATAGGCACGCATATCCATCACGCGCAGTAAGTAATTGAAGTGGGTAGGCGCTTCGGGAAGTCGTTCCTGTTTGCGAAAGCGTGCCACGTCGTTACAGGCTCCTCGAAAGACTAACGCT